TCCCTGATGATGAGTGATATCGAGCATCTTTTCATGTGTCTGTTGGCCATCTGGATCCATCTTCTCTTTAAATGCCTTCTGTTTCTTTCATTCTTTCATGTTTTCCAATCTCTTTGTTACTTCTTTTCTCCGGTTCTGTCTTCCTTTTCCTTTTTAATAGAGTGTTACAATTTTGGTAAAGAACTAGCAAAGGTCATTTAGGTTCAAGCACTCATCTCTTGTGTTATGAATCCTCAAATGAAACACTATCATCTAGTAAGAACCTGATTGGTAGAGATTACAATAGGAAGATTATCTTCCTATCGTACAACCCATCCTTAATTGGATTGTTGTTGATTTATTTTTAGTTTTAAATAACTGCTCTGTATTTCTCTCCTCCTTTCACACTATCTCAGTATAACGCCTACATCCTTTGTAAGGCTTTGTCTATTGAAGGTCACCACGACAGCCACTGTAGGTTTTATTTTGTTTTGTTTTGGACACAGAACAATTGGTTCCCTAAGAGTTGTTGAATTCTGCTTTGTAGGTACAGACCGACCCAGTGGAAATTCTTCTTTTAATAATACTTCTATCATCTGAGACCATATGTCAAAGGCACCTTCACCCATAGCCCATTTTTAAGTCAATAAAAAAGAAGTTTTATTCCTATTTCTTTGCCAGAGGTCAGTGGTTTTTAACATGCAATTGCATTTTTTTTTAAATGGTGAGATAACAGGAACCTGTAATAAGCTGCATGACCTAGTTATTTTGAATGGACTTTTCCATTACAAAAAGGGTTGGTTTTATTTGTTTTAAAGACATTTACAGAAGTACAGAGCAAAGCTATAAAGACTACAGGGAAGAAAAATTTGGAACAACCAAAGGGAATAAAGAGGCTTTCTTTAAGTACTTCATTCTTGTGAGTTAGATTTCCCTGCAGCCTAAGCTACTCCACAGTTCCTTAAAAGAAGATGCCTATGCAGGTTATGGAGGGTCTTCTGAATTGCAGATGCATGGGCAGGTACGTATAAGGAGAGGGAGTGAGGGTGCCACATAACAGCTCAGGATGCAAAATGACCTCAGGGCTCAGTCTGTGCCACAGAAAAATAGTAAATAGGTCAGAGTCAGAAAACTCCATTTAGACCAAAGTATAAGAAGACTCATGGAAGGTGAGGGCTTTGAACTGGCAGGATGGTGCAGGCTGAGAGGAGGGTGGAGGGTCTCCTGAGGTGAGAGTGGATTCCTACTAGAGTTGATCCTTGAACAACATGGGCTTGAACTGCATGCGTCCAATTTAAAAAAAAATTTTTTTTAGTAAATACAGTACAGTCCTGTAAATGTAATTTCTCTTCCTCACGATTTTCTTCATAATGTTTTCTTTTCTCTAGCTTGCTTTCTTGTAAGAAAACAGTATGTAACACGTATACAAAATGTGTGTTAATCAACTGTTCATGTGCTCGGTAAGGCTTCTGGCCAACAGCAGGCTATTAGGAGTTAAGTTTTGGGGTATACTGCAGAATGCACTGGCCTTGCTTGTCTCAGTTCTCACTTCTCTTTGGAAGATCATTTTGAGGGTCAGGGGGAGCTGAGATTGGAGCATTGAGACAAAATTAAATTAAGCAATACCTAGAATTGCAGGGTAGGGAATCTGTCCTTGAAACTTTCTCAGTGGGGGAGCCAGTGAAGATTTTGGGAGAAAACCGATTAAGCCATGTGGCAGAAAGTAGACTGGGAGAGGCAGAACCAGGGAGGCGCCTGACACACATTTTTTTAATGTGCTTTGTAATGGTAACTCACTACCGCAGCTCTGAAAGTTAGTTTGGTTATTCTCATCCTGCAGAAGTCCTGCAGGGAAGACCTGGCAATCACGCAGGGACCTTATTCTTTATCCCATTCCATTGCACGGTGTTTGACCCTGGTAGACGCCCCCAGTGTCACGGTGCCTGTGTCCCATTCTTCTCTGCCAGGCACCAGTCCTCTGCCACCAATTCTGAGGAGAGCTGGGAAACTTGGGTCTGCCATAAGTTGGGTCACCATTTACTGGTGTTTAGGGTGTCTTCTTTGAAAACATTGGGGGCTTTCCTCTTGATTTAAAAATAGTGGAAATGCTTTTTGGAAATCAAGTCCCTCTATAAGGAAGGCAAATGGGGGACCTTCTGGATAAAGATTGGGTTAGACTTGAGTTGGTTGTCAAAGACAGTCTGATTAAATAATCTTTTGTGTAATAGCAACACTAAATAGGAGTCGCTTTCATTTTGGCAAGTCCAGCACCCATGTTTTTTGGGTCTGCCTGTGTGAAATGGAAGACAGCCTTCCTTTGCCTCTTTTCAGCCAGATCTGTTAGCCTCAATTCTGTATAAAGATTTAAAATGTTAAGGGCAGGGGCACCTGGGCAGCTCTGTTGGTTAAGTGCCCAACCCCTGTGTCCTGGGATTGAGCCCCTTGGCAGGCTCTGTGCACGGTGGAGAGTCTCTCTCCCTGTCCTTCTACCTCTCCCCCCACTCATGCTTGCAATCTCTCTCTCCCTCCCTCTGTCTCTCAGATAAATTAAATAAAATCTTTTTTTAAAAAATGTTGAGGGCAAAAGGAGGGCCACACCAATCATTAATAACAATGCTATACAACTGCCAGATTGGTCTCCAAAGATACTGGTTTCCTGATGCCATTCTCTTGCTAAGAACCTGTAATACTCTTTCTTAGGCCTCTGCCTTTAAGTTTTGTCTGGCTAATTCTACCGATAAAAGCAGCTTTTCCTTCTCTGGATTCCTTATCTCATCTGCCTTTTGCACAGCCAGACCTCCCTATTCTGGGTTTATCTGGGACAGTCTCTCCTACGTTTTGGGAGACAGAGATTCCCTTCTACTTCCTTTCACTCTCTCACCCTAACATGACAGGTTGCAGACACATCTGCCTAGATGCCAAAGGGATAAACTGCAGATTGTGCTGCTAATGTGAGGTGGTGGCCCCCCGGGGAAGTTCGTAGTCTGTGTGTCACCTCTCTTGAGGTTAGCTTGGCAAAATAAGGCGAACTTGGAGAAGTAAGAGAAGCCAGACCCCTTGGATCAAAGATGAAAAAAGGTAGCTAAATTAAACCAACATTGATGATATGTATCTTTCATTTAAAAAATGTTTTATTGTGAAATATAGCATCATTCAAAACATATATGCAAATGTAGTAGTGCACAATTTAAAGATATCTGAGTCTTTAAAAAGCCCAGTTCAATTGGCTTTACGTTCATTGGTGAAAAATTCACTGTGACTAGTTCTTGCTAAAACTGGACAATCAAATTTTCAGAAGAGCTAAAAAGCATCCCTAAAGTGTCCTGCTAATCCATGTAGCAGTTTACCCATGAATGGACTTTTCTTTGACAGTAACACTTGTTTTGTTAATGGAGATATTTTAAAAAAGATTTTATTTGAGAGAGAGAGAGAGAGTGCACATGAGCAGGGCAGGGGAGGGCAGAGGGAAATGGAGAAGCAGACTCCCTGCTGAGTATGGAGCCCCACCCATGGCTCAATCCCAGGACTCTGGGATCATGACTTGAGCTAAAGGCAGACACTTAACTGATTGAGCCACCCAGGTGCCCCAGGATTTTTTTTCTAACTAGGCTCCAATGTGGGGCTTGAACTCAGGACTCTGAGATCAAGCAAGACCTGAGTTGAGATCAAGAGTTAGCTGCTCAACCAACTGAGCCACCCAGGCACCATGGGAATTTTTTTTTTAATTATGAATTTAGGCCATAAAGTTCTCATATTAATCATGAATATATTTGATAGTTCTTAGAGCTTTCTGAATTCCTGTTTCTATATGTTTGTATATACTTTACTCTAGGCAGCCTGTCTGAATCTTTCCATCCCAACTTAAGTCCCACCTCCTGGGTGGAGAGTAGTGATTAGCATCTATTGCTGTTACTCCGTGCCTGGAGCTGTACTGATGTTTTACTCATGCTCTCTTACTTAATTCTCCTAGTAATGCTATGAGATAATGGAATAGAGTTACTCCCACTTCACAGATGAGAAAACTGAGGTAGCATGGCTTATATCTCAGTCCCTCAGAGCTAGTGAGGATTCAAGCTCAAGTTCTAAATGCCATGCTTTCTTAAAGCCCTAACTGCCCCTCACCATGGACTATATGCCCTGCCTTCCCCCTCACCATGACCTCTTAGCCTGAACTCATATAGCCTAGTGTCTGCATCATTTATTACAGAGCCCCATGTCTCCCTTACCATCTGGCCTGCTGACTTGCATATAGCAGTTGCTGAAGGAATGTTTGTTGGGGAAAGAGTTATTTTCTTTTTTTGCAGCAGAGAGGGAATGCTTATTTAAGTTTGTGCGCCAGGGATGTGAGCTCTGAAGGAGATCTGTTTCCAGTATTCTTTTAAAATGCCAGCTTTAGGGGATCCCTGGGTGGCGCAGCGGTTTGCGCCTGCCTTTGGCCCAGGGCGCGATTCTGGAGACCCGGGATCGAATCCCACATCGGGCTTCCGGTGCATGGAGCCTGCTTCTCCCTCTGCCTGTGTCTCTGCCTCTCTCTCTCTCTGTGACTATCATAAATAAATAAAAATTAAAAAAAAATGCCAGTTTTATAGTATCTTTGACATCATCTAATTTTCAATTAGAGAAAAATCTATGTGAAAGTCAACTTATAGTGCGTATAGTGTTTTAATTTATTAGTATTGGAATGATTTGAGATTATTCTTTTTGATGAAGGTGGTTGTCTTACATTTCATCTAAAGATGGACACCTGCTACTAGCAGTGTTTTCTACTAAGTAGAGCGAGGGGTATAGAAACAAATGAAGCAATGATCTGCCCTTGGAGACTCAGTTTATTTGGTAAAACAAGAGCGTAGACGACTATTACGGGCAAAGAACAAAGCAAAACAAAACAGAAAAGTGGTTGAATAGGGCAGTAAACTCTTAAGTAACTCTCTCATAACTTTTTATGTGTGATATCTTGATAACTTATAATGTTAAGCTTCAATCATCATTGTGATATTAAATTATTATACATGTCTTTACAGCAAGTTTATTTCTGATCGCGAAAGTAGAAGAAGTCTCACCAACAGCCATTTGGAAAAAAAGAAATGTGATGAATATGTAAGTGTCATCATAATAAAGTATGCTTATTTGTTTTAATCACATAAATTGGGACAGATGTTTTTAATTCGTGTAGCATAATATCCAAAGTACAGCTATTTATATTCACCAGGGTATTCCTCTGATCCTGTGTATTTTCTCCCAAAACCCATTTTAGAAAATAAATAACTAGACCACTAAGGAAGTATTTCTTGAATTTTATTTCTCCACTGGTTCCTAATAGTGCTTTAAAGACTTTGGCATGAGGTACTTTCTTGGGGACTGTTGTGCTTATGTGTGTCTCTTTGTTTAGATTCCAGGAACAACGTCCTTAGGAATGTCTGTTTTTAACCTAAGCAACGCCATTATGGGCAGTGGGATTTTGGGACTCGCCTTTGCCCTGGCAAACACCGGAATCCTACTTTTTCTGTGAGTTTTGATACTACAATACTTTCCATTTTAAAACTGTATTTTCTGTATGTTTTTGATCATATATGGAAGAAATTGGAAGTATTTCCGAATATTTCTTTTTATGTTTTTAGTAATTTGGTGAAGTCACGAGTACATACTTTTATATTATTTGTTGGAATGATTTTCCAAGTTGCGTCTAATGTTTATAAGAAAGTGGAAAAGAGGAAATCTTTTTATTTATCAAAAATACCAAAATAAGCCTTTATAAAAAGGATTAAAAGATTTCATAATAGCACTTTTGGTATTTTTGGATTCCTTACCTGTCACTTTAAATATCAGCTAAAAGGTCAAAATATTTAGAGGTGTTTAATCCAGCCACTCACCACTTTGGTATTTGGATTGCAATGGAACATGTACCATATCCAAGGGTAATTGCAAATTTGTTTATAATAAATAGCCAAGAAGCACAGACAAGAAATTAGCATGTACTTTTCCTCTGAGAGTTAGTTAAAAGAAAATAGGCAATTTTGTTTTATATAACTTTTTCTCGCAGTGTTGAATGGGACTTTCTGCAGATGTACAGAGGGCTTATTTTCAGTTGGACCAAGGTGAAAACAGATCCTAGAATTGATGCCAGGAAAATGCTCACCCAGCCTGATTCCCCTCTCAAACCTCATGGAGTATTAGTGGTGTTTTGCCTGATAAGGCAAGGAGGAAATTCTCTCCTCCAGCCTTTTCCCGCATGACTACACTCACGTTCTTCATTGGCCTCACTCACTAGTCTTCATTGCTGGATTGTTTAGATGAAAGCATCATTTCCTTGGAAGCAGTGACTGAAGTGGCTAGTACTCCTACAAATTGTGTATGTTCCTTTAGAAAGACTTAGAAAACTGTGATGAAAGTACATTGGTACCCATTCCATTACTCAGGGATCAGTGATGTCCATCCATGATGTGCCGTATTGGTCAGTAGTGCTAGGGATTAAAATTCTTCCTCTTATGTGTAAACCCACTAGATACCTCCTTTCTAGAATTAAAACTCTGTGATAGGACAGTGAATTCAATACATTTCCTCCTCATTGTCCGCCCAACTCAGTAAACCCAACTGTAGCCTCTTCTCTTTATTGTGCTGGGTGGATCATTCTATATGGTCTTTCTGTTTACGTGTATCTTGAGCCAAGTGCTAGGTTTTAGGGTAAAATCATGGAGTTGGACAAAATATTTCTATGGTGACTCTATGTGTGGATCTCTGAGGATACCTGAGGGTTTGTTGCACTTGTGATTTTCAGAGCAGTGGCCAGGGACACCTAACTGCTAGTCCCAGCCCTTCTAAATGGCTGTGTAGTCTTAAGCAAGTTACTTTTCCACTCTGAGCTGCACTTATCTACTCTGTAAAACAAGAAAATTGCACTAGAAAAATCTCAGAACCCCGCCAACCTTTGAAACCCTATGGTTCTGTGACTGTTTTCAGTTTTTCTAAAGTTGGAAATATGTTCAGTTCAGAAATGTGTTTTCCATTAATTTTTTTCAGTTATTGCATTATATCAAGTAGTTAGTTCTATGTTAACATAGTAAGAGTCAATTCTTTGAGGATGGTAATGACAGTAACTCTTGTAGCTCTTACTTTGTACCAGGTACTACTCGAAGTGTTTTATGCTGAATCCTTGCAAATCTCTGAGATAGGTACTAATGTTAGCTCCCCACTTTACAGATAAGAGAACTGGGGTAGAGGGAACAGATTTTCATTGTGGAGTCTCTCCTTGTCACATTCTGGGAATCCCCTTCACCTCTTTTCTCGGCTAGATCCCTATTCCCTGTATTCCACTTCTTCCTTTTTCTGGATTTACTTCCTTGTATTATTGCTGAGAAAGGATAAATAGAAATAAGTTTTTTTTTCAAGACCTTCATGTCTGCACAATGTTTTTATTCTACCTTCACCTTTGATTGGTAGCTCGGCTGGATATGGAACTCTATATTGGCAATAATTTTCCTCCAGAATTTGAAGGTATTACTCTAATGTTTTCTGGTTTCTTCTGTTTTGAAGTCCTGTATCCTTCTGATTCCTGCTCTTTCTTATACAGCCAGTGGTTTTGTTTTGTTCCATTTTGTTTCTGGAAATTTGTTTCTGGAAATTTGTTTCTAGAAATTTGTCCCCCATGTTCTGCAGTGTTACAGTGATGTGTCTTTTTTTTTTTTTAAGATATTATTTATTTATTCATGAGAGACAGAGAGAGAGGCAGAGGCATAGGCAGAGGGAGAAGCAGGCTCCCTGCAAGGAGCCTGATGCAGGACTCAATCCCAGGACCCCAGGATCATGCCCTGAGCTGAAGGCAGACACTCAACCACTGAGCCACCCAGGCACCCCTACAGTGATGTGTCTTAATGTGGGTCTTTATCATCTATTGTGTCAGGCATGTGTGCCTCCTTTTCTTTTAGAAGTTCGGGGACTGCTTCTCCCTCTGCCTATGTCTCTGCCTCTCCTGAATAAATAAGTAAAATCTTAAAAAAAAAAAAAAAGTAGTTTGGGGACATTCTCTTACACATTATTGTGTTAATGAATTCCTTCTTCCTCTTTTCCTTTTCTCTGTTTCTGGAACTGCTCCCCAGATTCTGGACCTTCTGGACTAGTCCTCTAATTTTTATTCTTTATTTTCATTTCTATGATTTTTCACTATAGCTTCTGGGATATGTCCTCAATTTCCCCCAGCTCTTTACTGAATGCTTTATTTCTATTATTATTGTTTTATTTATAGGAGCTTTTAAAGATTCTTGGAATATTCCTTTTTATATTATATTATTTTGTTTTTTGATGTCAGTGTTTTCTCTAAGGCTTCTAGTGAATTTCAAGCATAATGTGGAAAGAAGAACATAAAAGATTCCCATGTTCCCTTCATCCCATGGCCTTTCTTGTTTAATCATCCCCCTCACCTGGTTTGTCTTGAAGCAAATCCTAGCTCTAATATTATTTCATCCATAAATATCTCTGTATATGTCTCATTTAAAATATAAGGTTTACTAAAACAGAACCATAATATGTCACAACTAAAAAATCAGTTCCTTAATGTCATCAAATATCTGAATAATATTTGGATTGCCTATCTATCTCATTAAAAAGAACAACTGGGTTTTCCAAATCAGTACTCAAATAAGGTCCATACAGTACAATTGGTTGATGTGTGTTTTAATCTCTTTTAGTCTATAGACTAAAGACTTCCCCACTTCTCTTTCTCCTTTTTTTGTATACAGTTTAGTTGTTAAAGAAACTGGGCCATTTGTCCTCTAGAGTTTTCCACAGCCTAAATTCTGCTGAATTCAGTATCTCTCTGGTGCAAGTTGATTTTTTGTTTGCTTTGGACATTATCTTTCATTTTGTAGAATCTTTCCTCAGATGTCAAGTGGTCCTTCTTTGTTATATTCAAAAGTAAGGGATGAGGAAAACAAGATTAATTTAGGCCTGCTACAGGTGGGTGGGGCTTGTTGGCAATAACTTCATTTAAGGTGTTGTCAGCAGCCCTTTTCTTTTTTTCCTTTCTTTCTTTCTTTCTTTCTTTCTTTCTTTTTTTTTGCACCTTTCTTTCTTTCTTTTTTTTTTTTTGTCAGCAGCCCTTTTCTTTTTTTCTTTCTTTTTTTTTTCTGTCAGCACCTTTCTTTTCTTTCTTTCTTTTCTTTTTTTTTTTTGTCAGCAGCCCTTTTCTTTTTTTCTTTCTTTCTTTTTTTTTTTTTTTTCTGTCAGCAGCCCTTTTCTTGGGGAACTACCAGTGTCAGTTACTCTTTGGCTGTTTGGAGCACCCAGGGTCTTCCAGTCACCTGTCCAGAGGGGCTGAGCATTGCTGCCGTCTTTCTGGGAACCAAGTTGGGGGAAAGGTTTGGGGTGAATATCTCAGTTGCATGTGTTCACCAAATCCCAGTTTTCCTGACAGTACCTACCCCCCCCATAAGTTGTGCTGAGTCCCTCACCTAGAGACCTATATTTGGCACTTTCCAGAGAATGTATCTTCAGATAGATATCTTTTGCTAGGTGGGGGATGAGCAATGACTCAACTTTACGGAATAGGTGCCTGGTCTGAGGAATCTAGCTATTTCTTGAAGATCCTCTGTATTTTAGCTCATCCCTTCCATTGTTCCCTACTTCCAGTAACGCCACCAGGGCCTTTTGGGAATTCTGTGGTCTTGGCTTTCTCCACTGCCAATTTAAGGTTCAGCTTTGTCTGCTTTCTAGTTCTGAAATTTTGTGATTCTTGGCTCTTCTTGTGTTCTTAGGAGGGAGCAGGAGCAAGTTCTTATATTCAATCTACCATTCCTAGGATTCAGTTGATTTTTAATTATAGTGATTCAGGGATAATTGATCTCTTATCTCATGACTCTTCAGGTTCTGACTGAAGCAAATAATTGGATAAACTTGACTCTTCAGTTGCAGGAAGACTTCCCTGTATAAAACTCTCATAAATTATTTGGTTATTTGCAAGATGCATGAGTAGCAAGCACAACACACCAAATCACCAGGTGAAAGCTCATAAGGTAGTTGTATAAAGACCCAAACTTATAAGCTTTTCACAAAATGTTGAAATCTCCTACCTTAGAACAAGGACTCACTCTGTGTGTTGTAAAACCAGCTGCTCCTACAGCTGCTCAAAGCCAAGAAGCAGTTGGCAGGATCAAGATATTTCATCTGGTACAGGGCCCTGTTCCAGACTCATATTAGCCAACCCGAAAAAGAGTACAAGCTTGTCCAAGCTTCTTTAGAAAAGCAGCTGGGAAGGCTCCTCTGAGTCTCCCTGAGGCTGGGTGCGGAGCTCCTCGCTCGGGTCATCTGAAAACTTGCGGGAGTGATTTCTTTTTCTTGGATGAATGTGGGGCTCATTTTTTTGACCTAACCATAATGGCTGTCATCCCTGTTTAATACACATATGATTCAGTTGGATTCAGTGAACTCTGCCCCATTGGAAAAATGCAGTTAGGTTTTGTATTTTCCTGAATTCTGAAGCCCATCTTAGGAAGAGGAAGTACGGGAATGGGAAT